CTCTTCCCCCTAAAAAAAGCCTGCCACAAGATTACTGTAACCCCCCCCCACACACACACACACACACACACTGAGTCACAATTACAGTAACAGTTGTTGGTGTCAGGGTTCTTAGGAGTAGCCATGTCACTCTGTGGTTGTCCACAGGAGAGCTGGAGCTTGACCACAACCGGCCAGCAAATCTTTGGGGCATGAGTCACAGTGGAGGCCATCCAAACAGTGGCACATATTAACAGCTTGGGAATGGCAGCAGCTCCTGAGAATCTGTCCCAGAAAAATAAATATATAAATCTGAAATTGTATATATGCCATATAAAATCATCCTACTTGTTGAACATGATTTGAAGAGCGTGTAGGTGACTGCAGGAAAACAAAGTGACATTTCACCTGATCCCTCAGCCTGCCCATCTGTGGTCTTGTCTACCTCAAGCCAGCAGCTCTATACCGCCCAAGCACAAGTGCATTTGTATCTGTATTATCCACAATGTGGGGACACCTCCCATTTTGAAGACCAACAGCTGATCCACACAAAGTGAAACATTAAATTTTGTACCTGAGGTTTGGCTGGGATGGTGTTTTTGATTGCTGTAATATCTAAGGCATGAATACTATGTGACAAAAAATACGTCTGGAAATGTGTGTGTGTGAACTGCACCTTTGTCTTTCCTAGTCGCCACTCTTTCTTGGCATTGTCATGAAGCATGAGAAGCTCTGTGCAGCTCTGCCGCACATCATCTGACTGGGTTTTGTTCTCCAGAATCATCTTGTACCTGTGGAAACACACACACACACACACACACACACACACACACACACACACACACATCAACATAAACACCATATAGATATAAACAGAGCACAAACATTTCTGTCAAAAAAAAAAATCTTTCAAGCCCTTAAAAGACAGATTTTTTTATCGAACTGGTTTTCTAACAGAAACAATCCAAGCATCGTCTGACATTCAGCCACGTCCTACAGCTATGGTGCGTATGTAAATATTTTGCTGACCTGCTATAGAAGTCCTTAAAAGTTCTGCGGACAGGAAATCCAGCCTTGCGAATCTTCACGGTTTCCAGCATTCCAGAGTATCTCAGTTGGTTCAGGACGACATCAGGATCAAACTGGCTGGCCTTCTGAAGATGCCAGACAACAAAACAACATGAAACTACAGACGCTAAGATGTTTAAACCCCCACTCTTCTAAATGGATAACAACATGTTGTGTGGATCGTGTCATTTTTTTCTGTAACAACTGTGCATTGAAGGTTGACCCAGACACAGGTCTTGTTCAGCACAGCAGATTTTTTTTTTTGGTAATTAATTATGTGTTCCCAAAATGCAATCATCCTTATTCCAGTATTTGTTATTGGACAATTGGGGACAGCTAAACACTGCAGGTAAATATAATCCTCCACCGCTGAACAAATACACCTATTCAAATGACAGCACTGCTGAGTCAAGTTTAACCTGAACTAAAAAAGTAAATTACTATGCTGAGCACAATCATTTTACATTAAGGTTACTGCAACAAAAGAGCACATGCCAACACCGAGAAAACAGTGTTGAGCAAGACCTTACCAACCAGGAAGGCCTTTCTTTCTGGAATAATCAGCTCCATTGTTCACAGCGCTGTATAACCAGTGATCCTACTTATCATACAGGATCAGTGAAGTCTGCCGCCTTACACCTCTACCCAAGTGGCCTGATTATTCAGAAGGTCAGCATGAAGGCCACTGTCACCCAGAGGACATGCATTGCTGGATAAGCCCCACAGGACCCATGGCAAACCCCAACATGTCAGTCTAATTACAGGCTAATGCAACAATGCATGGAAAGAGACACACTTAGATACAAAGGGACTTGCATGTGTTCATAATCAGACACCACCACACACACACACACACACATTAACATGATTTCTGCTCTTCATCAGAGGATTTGGGCAGCTGAAAGAGGGATGGCATTTTGACTTGAGTGAACTCAAGGTGACCCTTCCCTCAGTGACATTTATTCCAAGAAGAGAGGGTGCATGGAAATCACACAAATACACTGTATGTGTGTTTGCATGCTTGTAATGATGTCATAAAATTGTGCACACAGTCTTGTCATTCTGCAGGATTAACAGACACAGCTTGTTCAATCTTGACTGACCGAAGCCAGGTAAGTGAAAGTCGAAGTGGAGTCAGTGAGAGCAGGAAAAAGGCAGAGAAAAAGAATAGGAGTTTACAGAAAAAGAGGGTGAGAGGGTGACAGTGCAGTTTCCATTCTAATCAATGCGTGAGAAGGTTTGGAATGACGTATAAGGAGTGGGAGGTAAGGAGCTGAGAATCGCCACACTGTGCAAAGTAATAAGTAACAGTAACAGAGAGAAGGGTACTGGATTACAGGGCATCCAATCCAACAGAAAATACTGAAGCTTAACATATACTGTACTGAAAATGATATCAGGAATAAGGATACAAGTTGTGATTCTGAAAGGGTTTGCAATAATGTGGTAAAGAGCAGTGGAGGAACAGAGGCCTGTTAAATAACAGTCCCACTATGGCCTGTCACTGATGGAGCCAGATCAGCAGAGCATTAGCCAAGCTGCTGCAGCTGGAGCAGCCAGCAGTGACCTCTGACCTTTGATAAAGAAGCTAAAGTGTTGGGTATGTGGTGGCTCTTTATATTTGACAAGATGCAATGACAGGCTTTGCACCAGAGAGAAGAGCAATATCAGTTTATTAGCAATAAACATTTGCAGCATAAACAAAAAGAGCAGTTACTTTTAAAGTGGGACCTTTATATGTTTTTGGAGAAATGAATGTCATACTTTCTTCTTGGTAGGAGTAATAATAGCACAGAAACAAGAAGACTGAATATTAGCTCTGAGCAATGGGAGCTACAAATAGCACCAAGGAGGTTTAACATTGCAGGCGCTGACCTTGATAAAAGGATTTCTGGCTTTTTTTAAATTTATTTATTTGTGCAATGAAATTTGCATGACCTACCTTGTCCATGTTCGGTTTGATGCAGCGTACAAAAAAGGGGTTGGACACACTTAGTGTGGCCATCAGAGAATGGAGTGAGTCCTGGAACACAGCAGCAACAAGAGGATATGGATCAGGACAGCAGAGAGTCAGCCCATATATACCTCAAAAGGCATACACATATACAAATACACACTGTGAAGACCCCTGAACCTCACAGGCTATATCAGCCTCGCTCTCTTTGCTGCCTCAGACAATCTGTCTCCAGCGAGGCCTAGCCTGGCAGAGCAGAGTGTTACTGGCCCCTGGTTGGCCCCTCTCTGCCCAGCCATCAACCCTAATCCTCTGGCTTTAGGAACCATAGGCCAGGGCAGCCTGCCAAATCCTGCCCTGCTTCTTGTCTCAGCACTGCAGTTAGAACACGCTAAGCGAAACCCACCACTGCAAACCCCTCCTCCACCGCCCCGACCAGCTTACAGCCGCATATTTCATCCCATCACCCATCATTCTCTGCGGTTCAAATATACTGACAGAATTCTCTTTTCCCCTCTGTCTCGCCATGATTTCTGTCCTCCTCATTCTGTGCCCCCACACTCATCAAACCAAGATAAAGGGACAAATGTTAGAGTGATCATTATATGCAGACAATTAACTCATTGTCAGTGTGATGACACAATCATACAATCATGAGCAGTGAACTGGGAGAGACGTTTAAGTCACAGAAGCTTGAGTCTCACCCTGAACTGAGAGCTGACGGTGGGCTTGCGTCTGGCTGTGCCCATTTTTAAGGTCTCATCACCATTTCTGCTACCAATGCGCTCAAAAAGATCGTAGATGAAGTCAAGCCTGCAAGCAAACAGTGCAGGACAGGGAATGTGATTATAGAACTTGCATATGCTTTAAATCAGGCCTGTGTAGCAGCACAGACAGGGTGATATTTTCACCTGCTGTCTTTGAGAATAAACAAGATGTCATCTCTGAAGGTGTCTCTGTTCTTCTCTAGGATTCCACGCACATCATAAAGCACCTAAACAGATGAAAACAAGAAAAGTAAGAGACTTTACTGATGTTATAGCAGTACAGGAAACAACTGAGAGAGCTAGGAAACTAATTTAAAACCGTGATGTCCCCAAATTATGGATAACTCATTTGGAAATAAAGACCATTTATCCATGTACAGTATATATACAATAAATACCATTTTCCTGAAGTTCATTATCCAGACTGCTAAATAAAGCATTCACATGAGAACATTCATGTGGAGCCCAGATATCCAAACTGGACAGCACATGTATTGCAAAATCACTGACACACTAGTTACATTAATCCTCATTCACTGGAATGGACTCATACAAAAAAATTCTCTGTGTCTGTCAGTGCCAGGTTGGCTAAATAGGATGTTGTCATGGAGCTGCAGAGAAATGAATTCGTCAAAGACAATTACACATAGTTTTAAGGCAAAATACTACAGGCGGTGAGTGCACAAATTCACAGCTCACCTGCAGCACTGTACTTGCAAACCTGTTTCTTTGCATTATTGCTTTGAGACACATAAACACTTACATGTTATGCATGAGCTAATAAGGTGCAGGTGTGTTTTTGTTGTTGTTCAAACTCATGTCTGACAATGAAAGATTTAATTCAGATTAATTGTATTTTTGCAAATAATCAAATCTATTCCTCCACTAATCTTACACCACCATTTCAAATAACAATAAAGTCTCCAGAGGGGCACACTGGGGAGAGAGACAGAACAACTGGCTGGCTCGCCTGTCCTCTCTGGACCAAGTCATTCCCACAGTATCCATGCTAGGCTTGTGACTAAGCTGCCACACTCACACTGAGGAGACCTTGTCTGAGGCAGCCACATAAGGCCAGTCTTTATTAAAGCGAATCTTTCTACTCTCCCCCGACATCGCATCCCCCCCCGGCCCTATCTGCTCCCTGTATTTGTGCTTATTTCCTGATCTTTGTTGCCCTTCTCTACACTTCAGTCAGGAGTAATCTTGGTCATCATGTAAGCAAAAGAAAAGGATGACAGTGAAGCACTTCCTTCTGACTCAGGAAAAAGACAGTGGAGAAGGGGTCCAGCATCAATATCCTGTTGTATATTTTGGCAATGAAAACCCTGCTTCTCATCCAACACCTACCTCACTTCCCCAAATGACTCATTCAGAGAGCAAAAGTAACCAGCTTTTTATCCGTGTATGTGTGTTGTTGATTACCTCCCCAGCATAGTGCTTGATGCCAAACTGGTGGTCGGTCACTCGGGGTTTCACGTAGTATGGGTTTGTCTGAGAAAGAACAAGACCACTGACCATTAAAAGTTCTGTTCATGTCTACTTACAGTAGTTAGTCGTGTCAAATTAGGTAGAGCATACAGTTCACCGAGTCCTTCGAGAGAGTTCAGAGGAAACAGAGAAGTTAACAACACATCCAGGGCTACAACTAAAGCTTATCATCATTAGCAAAAATCTGCTCATTATAGTCTCAGTAAAATGACAAATATTAGAATGTGAAATGTCAGAAAATAGTTTTTGTTCTGTTTTATTCTGTTTCTCTTTCTTTCTTACTTATCCATAACTTATTTTAACTGTAAACAGGGCCTGGCTGTAAAAGACCATGTATGTTCAGTCAACCTACAACATAAATAAAGGTTAATTAACCTTCAAACTTAACACATGGATCAGCAGTGATGGCAGACACCTCAAAGAAAGGTCCAGGTGGATCGTAGGTCTCATTCTGTAACTCTTCTGATTTTCCCATAAGTCATAGAAATCCCTGCTGGGTTTTGTGAGGATACTCTTTTCATACAATGCTGATTCAGTATTGTTGTGCTTGCGCTCGGGGGCATGTAACAGTGCTGCACAGATGTTCCATGCAGCATCAAAGCCAACAGGCAATTCAACAGCCGGGGGAGAGATTTCACTCTTTAAGGTTGTGGGTGGTGAAGGCATTTCCTCAGCTGGGGTTGAGGAAGTTTGGGAATATGGATCATTTTTATGAAGTGTCTGCTTGGGAGGACTAGATCTTGTATGCGCTGCAGCATACATGAAAGATACATTTAAGTTCTCATGTGTGTACATGGACTCACTGCATGCCGGCTGTGCAGCTTCTCTAGAAGGGTGTAGTCTGTCCCTTTGGGGAAGCGGCTCTCCTCATTGATAAGAGCCAACATGCCAAGTTTCTAAAGGGCAGAGAGACAGAAGAGCAGAGAGCATGAAACACACTGTAGTCATGATGGAACTAGTTTTAATCTCTGCTGGCTACATCTGACAGCTTTTAATTTAACAATGCATCCAGGAAACAGCAAAGTAATTGACTGAAATTTCCTGTTTCTCACTGTGCAGACACTGTGACTGGCAGCAACACTCATTTCTATGTGTACATATGGTACATAAAGTCACATTACATTACACGAATGTTCCACACATACTGAAGTTAGTCACGGCGTTCCACAGGGCTCTGTGTTAGGTCCAATTTTCTTCACTTTATACATGCTCCCTTTAGGCAATATTATCAGGAAGCACAACATAAATTTCCATTGCTATGCAGATGATACTCAGTTATATTTATCTATGAAGCCAAATGAATCAGGTCAGCTGGTCAAACTTCAAGCATGTCTTAAAGACATAAAGGCCTGGATGACCTGCAACTTCTTACTTCTAAACTCTGACAAAACTGAAGTTATTGTGCTTGGGCCTGAAAACCTTAGAAATCTGCTGTCTAATCATATAGTTACTCTAGATGACATAGCCCTTGCCTCCAGTACTACTGTGAGGAACCTGTGAGTCATCTTTGATCAGAATATGTCCTTTAAATCACACATAACCCAAGTCTCTAGAACTGCCTTCTTTCACCTGCGCAATATTACAAAAATCAGGAGCATCCTGTCTCAAAGTGATGCTGAAAAACTGGGCCATGCATTTGTTACTTCCAGGCTGGACTACTGTAACTCTTTACTATCAGGATGTCCCAATAATTCCCTAAAAAGCCCCCAGTTAATCCAAAATGCTGCAGCCAGAGTACTGACAGGAACTAGCAAGAGAGATCATATCTCTCCCATATTAGCTTCTCTCCACTGGCTCCCTGTAAAAGTCAGAATAGAATTTAAAATCCTTCTCCTAACATACAAAGCCCTTAATGACAAGGCTCCATCGTATCGTAAAGACCTCGTAGAGCCTTATCATCCTAACAGAGCACTTCGCTCTCAGAGTGCAGGTTTACTTGTGGTTCCTAGAATCCACAGAAGCAGAATGGGAGGCAGAGCCTTTAGCTATCAAGCTCCTCTCCTATGGAACCAACTCCCAGTCTCAGTTCGGGAGGCGGACACCCTCTCTACCTTTAAGATTAGACTTAAGACGTTCCTTTTTGATAAAGCTTATAGTTAGGGCTGGATCAGGTGACCCTGAGCCCTCCCTTAGTTATGCTGCTATAGGCCTAGGCTGCTGGGGGGCCCCATGATGCTCTGAGTTTCTCTCCAGGTTGCCCTGGAGCTCTATATCTCTGACGAGCAGTCACCAGCCACATCGACCTGATCAGTGTTTGATTGTTGTGTCTTGTTGCTTTTCTTCTTTTGTCTCTCCTCTATCCACTCACCCCAACCGGTCGAAGCAGAAGGCCGCCCACCAAGAGCCGGGGTCTGTCGGAGGTTTCTTCCGTTAAAGGGAGTTTTTCCTCCCCACTGTCGCCAAGTGCTTGCTCAAGGGGGATTTGTTGGGGTTTCCCTATGTAATAATATTGATAACAGTAAGGTCTAGACCTTACTTTGTAAAGTGTCCTGAGATGATTTTGTTGTGATTTGGCGCTATATAAATAAAATTTGATTTGATTTGATTTGACATTAATAAAGGGAGAAAATGGTTGCAATGTAATCTTGTTGCTTCCTTTAAACCTTCCAGTAAACTCAGACCCAGAAGCCTTTTAGACATAAGCCCAACCTTGTAAAAGCTCAGTCTTTACCATCATAAATATGGTGCTAAAATAACACAAACTGTCTTCATGCTTTATGTCAGAATGGTTTACATTACTGTGCACACAACATGCAAAATGAGACCATTTAATGATAGAGTGGGAGATGGAGGTCAATGTAAGCGCAGTCTGGCGTCTGGGTCAGCATGCTCTGGCTGGCGGTTTGCATTCGCTCCTGGTGGGGACTGTGCTCTCTCAGGCTTTGACTGTCTGTTACCTTTTCTATGAGATCCAGACACTCTGCATTATCCATCCAGTCTATGGCCTCCCACTGGATTCCCTCTCTGTGAGGAGACATGCAGAAACACACAAATACACATTGTATATATAGTACAAATATAAACAACTATGAAGGCACAATGGCTGAATTGTTCAGAATGAACATGTGATGAAATGAGCCCTGTCCAAGCTGTTGGCCTATTGGACAAGAAAACAACTGTCTGGGGGAGAAAAAGAGGTGATTCCAAATCTCTGGCAGTTTGTCTGTATCGCCATGAGGAGGTCCACCCCCCACCCCCAGTCCTATCTGTCTGTGGGACAGTGTCCAGGACATGCAAAACCTTGGTTTCCTTTATATATTATATATTAAATGTCTTTACCTGTTGTACTCCAGCTGCTCCAGTGAAAAAATGTGCTTGTTGAAATATTCCTGCAGTTTCTCATTGGCATAGTTGATATTAAACTGTTCGAACCTGTTCACCTACGAGACGAGAAAATAATTAGATTTTATGACCTGTAGCTTAGTCTAGTCCTCTATGATCAGTTCTACCTTGCAATCAAATTGCATATTGACAAGCAGTTTTGTGTCAAGTTTTCAAATGATCATTTCATTCAAATTTAAACTAGTGAACTTTGTATTTTTCTTAACAAAAATTTATTTATCTTGGCTACAAGTACAATTCTCTGGCTTTACTAAAAGAATTTAAGTTAGAAATGATGATTTTAAAGCCCCACAAAACTTGACTTAAGGGTTTAAATAAGTACTAAACAGTGTATAAACACAAAGGTTCTTTATTAAAAAGTATAACACTAAAAAACTAATCAGATTCATCAGAAATGAATGCTTGTGGTTTAATCAGACTTGATAGACAGTAACCAAACTATCCAGCATCATTAGATTCTGATTCAAATGTTGGTAAATCAAAATAGGCTGGACAGCACTCAGAGAGTGCAAACCTCCGCCAAGGCAGCTCACTGTCCCCTTAACGCCATTACACCTAAAAGCAATATTCCAGTGCTAATCTGACCCTAATAATATATTTCCTTGACCATGAAAACTTACCCCTAGCTTTTGGAATCAAACTGATATTATTAGTTTGAAAAGTATTCAAGAAAAACAATATTTTAGTAAAAATACTGAAACTGGCCCTATCTCACAATAGTGAAGAATCCTTTAAAAATTCCTGAATCTGGACGATAATCCAGAGTAGAACCAAAATCTAATGGATTGTTCCATGAGCCACACCCTACACCTAAAAAAATGTTCATTCAAATCCATTTATAACTTTTTGAGCTATGCTGTGAACAAACCAAATGTCAGTAAAAACATGGCCTCTGCCTTTAAAGAGGTATAAGTGGTGGCAAACCAACAAAGCAGTCACTGGGCCTTGCTCCAATGAACAAATTCCTTTGTAAGTGGCACACTCGGGTTATTTAAGAAAGTTTGTGGACAGCTGTCTCATACTTAAAACGTTCTTTAGTTAAGAAGGCCCAGACTGGTTGTACAAGTTTTTAATGTAATATTTCAGGACAGCAACTTACACAGTTAAATAAAATAATGGAAAATGTTCTCACTCATTCAGCTACATCAGGCTTCTAACCAGTATCATCCTCTCTTCATATACCTTAATACTGTGTGTTCATGAAGGATCCCACTGCTCATGACAAGTGGCTGGTTTACAAAGTAAGTATTCAGGGCCTTTAAATGATTATTTAGTGTCGCTATTTCTTGCTGAGAAAACTCTTAAATGCTTTGAGCGAGTGTTCACCTCAAAGTTCTCAAAGCCGAAGATGTCCAAGATGCCAATGGACTTGAAATTGTCTTTTCCTTTGATCTTCTGGTTGATCCTCATTATGATCCAGGAGAAGCACTGAGAATAAAGAGCCATGGCAACTGAGTCCCGCGAGTCCACTGCCTGCAAATCATGGCATGAAAGTTACCATGGATACCAAGTCAGGGATAAATAATAATAGTGAGGAAATGTCGCAAATTGCATCCGAAACACAGTATGGAGTAGTGAATATCTCAGTATACATTTCATCACTTCTATCCAATGATGGTTAAAGTGGTTAAAAACAATAACAGGTGTGTGTGTGACAATAAAATAAATAGTGGTTTGGAGACACAGGTGTGTTAGTCAGTGTCTGTCTGCAGGTAAGATCTGTTCACAGTGGACAGCTTTGTTTATCACCTACATGTCTCAAGAATGATGTAGTGCAGGAGGTGTTATATTCCAGTGAAAACAAAGGCAAATCGAAATACTATATAAACATGTTTTTGTAAATGATTGCCTCTCACTTTCTAAAAAAACCCTAGACAAGGAACTAAAGCCTGCTGTGTTACACCTGTGTCTCACTTTCCACTGTGACAGATAGGTCCTACTGGGGACTTAGTAATAAAATTTTTTACTTAAGTACAGTACTTGGGTAAATGTACTTAGTTACTTTCCATCACTGATATGATCAACAAAAACAAGCACATATGTTGTTTTGTCAAATATCAGAACTAGAGACATTACTCTTCTGACTGAAGAGGTAGCTGTTGTAATTTGTGACAAACTTCACTCTTTTAGCAAGCCGCACAATTTATACAAATAAGAAAATCTCTTTTCTTTTTTCTGATTTTCTCCAGCTGCCGTAAGGTCGGCCTTTCAGCTAAACAGCATCTGTGTACGTACATGAAAAGCCTGGCTTGCCAGCTATGCTTCCTCCACAGGCATTGTTCTTAAATTGAAAACAAAACAAGTGCGGCAGTGAGCACTGTATCTGGAGAAACAATGCTCCTGGGCTTTTGAGTAATCCATCATGCCCGGCCACATCTTGCAACCAGTGTGTGTGAACAAAGTGCTGGTCGCTGCAGGATCTCCGTCACAGGAGTGAGAAGAATGGCTGTTTGTCCAGGATGGGGGGGCGGAGCGGCTACTGCAGGCAGTCGCAGGGTGGGTGACCCCTGGCCGCTGTGAGAAGAAGCCATTCTTACCGACTCCAGGGCTAGAATAATGAACTCCATTAAGAGACAAGCTGCTTCAAAGGCCAGGCAGAACAAGCAGCAGCAGAGTGACAGCGCAGGGTCTTTGTCCGGTGATGAAAAGCTTTCTTGTGACTTGTGTGTCCCTGTGATAATAGTAAAAGTCCATTTTGCATATTCACTGACATTTGTGTGCATGAGTGGGCTGAGGGCTTGAGTTCAGCCAAAAAGGACTGTGTCGTGCGTCAGAATGTTCTTACAGCACATGACAAAAAGAATAGCATGCAGATGAAGACGTGAAATATTCACATTAATCACAGACAGCAGAGATGAGACACATCTTGGTGCCTGGTTGTGCTGCCTCCGTAGGACAGGACTCTCACTTCAACCCCACTCATTGGCCCTATTGTGCTTTTGACTCAGATCACTATCAAGATGGCTTTATTGTGCCAGGAATCTGGCAGACAAAAAGCAGGAAATGGCTGGGAGTCACGCAAGGGATCTGGAGAGGCATGTCGGGGAGAGTGCCGGAGAAAGGCTGTGTGTGTCACCAGGACAGGGAAGGGATCGAAGTGAGGATTGGGGGGGTGGTGATAAAGAGGCAAACAAAAACATCTACTGTATGTTTCACTGTCTTGACAGTGTAGAGCTTTGAAAAATTCCCAGCACCAAAACACTGAAATCTGATCATGATAACACCAAGGGTGGAAAAGCAAATATTTCAGGTTTTGTGTTAGCTGTGCGATTCCTGTAATGAGCAACAGATAAGGAAGCGGGTTTGGATGTGTTGTTACCTGCTCCACAGTGAGAGGTGAGCAGATCTCCTCCCCTCTGAGGATCATGGAGCGTTGGGTCAAAACTTCCGACAGCTGGAAGGAGTCCAGTCCGAGCAGTTCACTCACATTACTGACCACTGAAATACACACACACGCACAAGCACTGACACAGGTAACTAGAGCACAGACAGTTCATATGACTCCTACTGACGTCAAAAGACAGATATGACATTTAAACTGTGATCCTATATAGTCTATAGGAAACTCTACTCTGTTGGCTGGGCTACTATTCTACAGTCACTGTAGTTCACTAGTTCTTTGGAAAAGAGGTCAGACACAGCAAACAAAGGAGCCTTGAGCTCATGTTACAGCCTGTTCACTGCTCTGTCTCCTAGTACAATGTCAATCACACTCAGGGGCATAAGGAATCGTGTAGAGCCAACATCAGTGGTGAGCTTATTATGTGCTTTAGGTTTTCTACAGTAAACTCTAGCAGAAACAAGTGGTCATTTTAACCGGATTAGGTTTAAAACCACACACACTCCAAGTTTCCCCCTTAAATAGCAACACGGTCATACAGTATTTTTCCACTGTTTGATAAACATCACATACATTCAGCACCTGCTTGGTCCGGATCTTCAAGCTGTCATTCCTCATACACACATTTTCCTTTCATCACTACAATGTTTGAAATGAAACGGACTAGAATCTAAAATAAAGTTGTTTGGATTTTCACAGTAATGATGGACATACCAGGTTGCAAATGTTTCACTGCTTGTTTCTCCAGCTGTCAAAGGAGAATTTAAAACCCCTTTCAGATATGCACCCCTAGCCGGGAATTTGCCGGCTATTTCATGTCATGTCTGAACGAAGCCCAGCATCGTGAAGCCGGCAAAGTGTTACCGGCATTTTTACCTGGTTGGAGCTGGTCAGATAACCTGCTATGTTCTTAGCTGCTACATGTCTGAAGTGAAGTGGTAGAACTGCCAGTAAGGGCACTGTCAGTGATGACATGTATAATAATTTGGGAATGCATAGTTTCAGAGAACCTTTGTTTGTCTGACCTACTCTGTACTGATTAAAAAACTTGGCTCAGTGCCACCTCTGTTCTACCTATAATTAGCAGCAAAGCACAGTTCTTTCTAGGAAACATCCTAGGAAATTATTCAGAAACTACAATCTTGTATATTTATTTATCTGCCTCCCTAAAAGTGGATATTGAGAACATGTGTGACACTTTCATCAGGGGCAAGCTAACAGTCTGTGTAGTACTATTGTCTCAGTTCCATCTCATACCTTCTTTTGAAGTGATCTGAGCTCCACCTGCAGTCATGAATTCAATATTTCCCATCCGGAGGACAGCAGACAGCAACTTGAAGACGTCTCTGATCTCCTCCTCAGTGAATTCCATCACTTTCAGGGCCTCCTGCAAAATTAGACAGCAAATCCTTCAAGCTTTGATGGCAGTTAAACTTTATTTTGTTTCTCCTTTTTGCCTCCAAACATGTTTCCCCCAGGACTATGTTTCCAGAACCCAACTCGCTATGCTCATGATGAAATGTTATTGTGCCCCCTGGAGGTAAAACAAACCATGTACATAAAGGAGCTTGTATTCTTTCCTCTTCTCCTTCTTACCATCACACTGCCAAAAAGCTGCTTGTCATCAAGACTGCTGTCCTGCACACACCCTGACTGGTTCAGGTAGTGATATGATTCAGGTCCTTCAGATAGGAGGTACATGTCTGCAACACAGAGGAATAAAGAAACAATGCATTCGTGCCCAACACTGCAGAAAATGGGCAACTAAGTCTTCTGTGTAACCTTGGTTAACATTAGCTCCTGCTTGTTCAAATTGTTGGTTAGTTTTTCAGTGTATATTTGATTTTCTACTGGTAGTTGTCAGACCTGACTACCTACATACCATTTAAGGTTATTTATCATTTACTGTAGCTTTAGGGATGCTTGAATAAACATGTTCACAATTTTGACACAAAGTTGGTCATGTGTTATGGCCCTGTGCTTGTTAAAGTGGTAGTACCCACGTTTATGACCAACTATAGTTGGTCATAAACTTTGAGCACTCCTTCAAAATGTGATGGAACAAACCTCTGTGGTTTTTGTCTGCTCCTGCTAACAGCGCGTAGAAGATGTGATAGTTTCTCTCTCCAGGATTCTGTCGAACCACACGGTTCTTGAGAAAAAAGGCTGGTTAGATCGACCGTTTTACGGCTTTTCACAGGTTTAGCTGATGACCCTGCTATTAAATATTATGCTGTCATTAAACTCGCTGAACACATTTGTTACTGCTACTGAACTTTTCAACACAAACTTACCTTTTCCAGCAAATCTGATAATTAAATGTCAAGGGGGAAATAAAATTACTGCGACTGTGTCCCGGACAAGATGCTAGAGATCCAATTATTTTACAGAAGATCTGAGTGAACTTTTAAAGGATACAGTCAATGATGCAGCCTCCCTGAATGTTTCCGTTCTGGGAAAAGTGGAGCTGAATGAACTTTCCAAAGCGACTGGAGTTATTGTTGTACACTGTCTTAGCATTACCAAAAGCTTCCATGATGGGGCTGGAGAGAGAGAAAAGACAGTCAAGTGAATGAAATAATCAACTGTTTGTATTTTTATCTGTCATGAGGCCTTTTAAACATATTTCCCATCACCATTTTCTATCTTGATGCAGATGTGGCTCCAGACTAAATATTTCTTTAAAAAATGATGCAGCCTGAACAGTATTTCCTACTCTGTCATGTTTTTTTTTCCTCTATTTGTGCCAAATCACTGATATATGAACAGAATTTAGTGCATCAGGGATTTGACTCTACCGGTGATCAGCACTGTGCACTACTACAAAGAGAAAAACACTTTTGTTTGTTCCTATTTGGTTTTTCATAGGAATGTTTGCAAGGAATGATGTTCAAAACAGTGTTTTAAAGGTTTTTCTATATTGGCAATAAGGCATATTTGGTGGAAACTCTATCTGTTATTGCAAAGAAATCCATTTCATTATCACAACAATGACAGTCAAGAGCAACAAGATCCCAAAAAGACTATGAGTCGGAGGTCAGGGGTGAAACAGTACCTGCTCTGGATGAGGGCCTGCTCCACCCTGGTGGTCCTTTCCGACAGAGGAGTACCCGCTGAGTTCTGACTCCTCACTGAGAGAAACTTCAGAAGCAGTTTGGTGCTCTCTGTCTTCCCAGCACCGCTCTCCCCACTGAACACACAGTGCACACAGTCAAGCAGAGGTACAGATGATACGGTGATAAAAGTCCAATAATGCATAGCTTCTTAATTTCTCCTTAGTCCTCACCTGATGAGAACGCACTGGCTGTCATGTCTCTTCCACAGGCAGCGGTAACACTCATTGGCCACAGCAAAGATATGAGGGGGCAGCTCCACCATCTGATGTTTGCTGTACAAATCAACAGCCGTGCCGTCATACAATCCTGCTATGTGCTTATAGGGATTTACTGCTGCCAGGATTGAACCTATGTTAGTCTGTAGTAAACGGAAAAAACAGGCAGAAGTGGGAGGGAGAAAGAGGAGAGGAAAAAGGAAGACATGAATACACAGAGTAAACATGATAAACAAGATAAAAATGCTTGGTATTTAAGCAATTTTGCAGACATTGAGCTTCTGTAGAAGACCTAAGTACGGTGACTTTACATCATTAGTCAGTAGAGTCACCCAGTTTCCTGTATCCTTCCTCTGACTAAACCCCTGCACATGGCCTAGTATGCACTGAGGCTGCTAATATTTCAGGATCCGTTTTCGCACTGTGGGGAAAAATGCCTCACAAAAGTGTGTTTGTGGGTCATCATTCCAAAATGGGATGTTACATGGACAGAGCAGGCGAAGCCTCCAGGATGAGTTTAGGAGACAGGGTTTTCAAAAACAAAGTTACCATGTGTCTGTGGGCAATGATTATTTTAGTAAAGCCCAAATACTGTGCCATGGGATCCTCAGCGCTCTAACATGGAAATAATCCTGGCAGTGAAACAGGTCAAACAAACACATTTTTGAAGGAAAAATACAGCTCTGAATATTTTTTCATATATATATATTATATATATATATATAAGATCAGTCTTGCTGTGCTGCTCATCCCCATCCCAATTTGCAGAAATATGAAAAATACACCCCTGAACAACAAAATGGACCCACAGATGACAGGTACATCATGGTGGTACAAGGTAAATATGCTCACAGATTACGACAGTGCAGTGCCTTACATAGATGTTATCTTTCTGGTAGCGCAGAAAGAGGTTGTGCATGATGGCAGCTTCGTGCAGCTCTGCCAGCGTAGACATGTCCTCTACTCCGCTGACGCTGCTGGGGTGCATCGGGTACACCATCTCTCTGTTCACTTCCACCTTCTGTAGGCAGATTACCTGGAACAACACACACAGACACACACACTTAGCCAAGCATTTCGCTTGCACAATACTGTCACTTGAATTAAATCAACCAGAAAACTCATCATTTATCCTACAGCTTTCTAACTGAACACATTTTTGCCTCCTTATGTGGCTACTTTTAAATAAAAAATGTGCTCAACTCTTTACCTATGTTTATTTAAAGTCGTAATACTGAGTAATATGTAACAGTCCTCATGTTGACACAATGATACACTGTGAGTGCTGAAACAAGCATGACCATACACTGATCAGCCACAACATTATGACCACCTGCCTAATACTGTGTACACAGGAGCCAGTGCAGCAGCTGCAGCTCACTGTGCATCTTCTGTGAATCTGTTTGCTTCCATAGTTCTACTGTCAGGAAGAGCACGAATGTGTCGACCAGTCAGGGAAAAACCTATCTAACAGGAGTGAAAACTGTGGTGGTGAGGACAAGTTAGAGATGCTGTTTTATACCAATTCACTCCAGGTGTGATATCACCACTATAGCTGCTGAATGTTTCTCTTCATAGACCAATGTACAGTATTTCTCATTTTCAACCACTTTAACAAAGATTCAGACAAAATGGAATCTTTTGAAAAAGGATGAATGAAATTAAAAAGTTTAATCTACAGTAGATCAACCTCATCATCAGTGAGCCTTGGGACGGTCTGGCCTTGTCAGTCACTCAGATCCTTACGCTTGCTTATTTCCTGCTTCCAACACATGAACCTCAAGGACTGAATGTTCACTTGCTGCCTAATGTACCCCACACAGTGATAGGTGCCACTGAGATAATCAGTTAATAATTTCACCTGTCAATGGTCATAATGTTATGGCTGATTGGTGTATGTCTGTAGTTCAAATTCCAACCTGTCACACATCATTAAGAGAATATTGTAAGAGTGATCTGGCATCCAAAACCAAAAGATGATCAATGAACAACACAGCATTTAATAATGCATAAGCATGGACTTCATGTATGCTTAGCACAGGGTTTGAACAGCATCTGTGTAGATGATGGCCGGGTAGACAAGTTTACAAGGATGAATCAGTCTTCCACTGTGAACAGAGCACATGGACGCATGGATGACAGGAAGATCTAAATGATGCAGGAATAGGTGAGGTCAAAACAACAGATTAATTCCATGATGTGTGCCTGCCTGTGCCAACAAGTAGAGACGCCCTGTCTGACAAATGCCTGGACTTCACTCTGATTTGTTCAGTTAATATTTACAGTACAGCAAAGCTCTCACCGTCACATTTTTGCAACATGGCCAATTAAATGCTTCGGTAAAGCAAATGTGATGACTGAAGATGTCTTTGTCCTGATTTTGAGAGACACTTTTAGAGGTTGATTTGAAATGAATCGAAAGGGGGCTGATAGGAATGTCAACAGAAGAAATAAGATTTAACAGCAGCAGGGAAACAGAATAGCATTCTCCATCAGCAGACAGCCCTGCAGACTTTCTGGCCATCAGAACTTTAATGGATGATGCATACGATAATGCAATGTTTTGATCAATACTAATGGACAAGCAGCTGAGGTTGTGGCGTGCCAATGCATTACTACTGGCTCTTCTGATATAGTCTATCGTATCCCAGCAAAGAGGGGCTGCTGTGGCCCTGTGGGAGCAGCTGATAGAGCGCAGATGAAGGTTTGAAAGGGTTTAGGTGATTCCTCAAAGGTGCCACTAATAACTCTGAGGTACCTTTTTATCTTGGATAAATATGAGTTGAGAGTTGAGCTCAGTTGAAAGATGCTGTAAAGCTAGTGATACGCCTCTGTGAGTTCTTCATAAGTAACACCTTTACACATAGTTATTTGACTCATGAATAATAAAATAATATTAATTAGTACAGCTTTAACAAAATCCATGCTGTCATAAGAAAGTGTCATGCCCTTCCATTACTGTCTCTGCTGTCAAATCAAAGACACTGTGGTGCCAAAGCCGTTGTGTATTAGCAGTTCTCGTCCTGCACTTTTTCAAATGCACTGAATTATTAGGATAAATATACACAATAGATAAACATGTACGACAATGTCAGCTGCATGAAAATAAGGCTGAAGAAACCATCCCGTTATCAAACACATTTGTCTGTGAGAAGCTACTTCTTCTTTGTGTTTGCATCCTTTGCACCTTTTGCAGTGCATTAGCTACAGTGACTCTGTAAGTTAAATGACACACAGACAGGCAGACATGTCCATTTCAACTGTAAATGTCCACTGAAAAATACTGAGACAAAAGCACAAAACAATGCAGTCATCAGTAGGTTTCTGCATGATTTAGTGGTGCTAAGGTTTGAGAAAGGGGAGATGGCTTTGGAGAGAAATGTAGCACACGCAGTGATGTCATCCACTGAGCCTGAGCTTGCAGATTTACTGCCAGATGTCCCTAAACATTTGGCTTTAACCCTACCGCCTCCTCTCTGGCAAACTGGCCTGGATTCACCAGGCAGGGTCGAACTGGCTAATAAATCAAACAGGCTTTACGCTTGTTTTACTATAATCAGCATTTTCATTGTACACTCAATTACATCAGTCACTTAGTGTGATTGATCAACACCTGGGATCTGATGGCTTAATACTTAGTGTTACCATACAAAAACATATTCTGCAGCATTTATTTGATAATTGGTGAAATTACTGTATATGTCTGATTTGAACAATATGATTTTAAATATCAATTAAAAGCCTCGATGAGACTCTGTTCATGATGCTTCAGATTTAAATAAACTGTTATGCATATTATGAATTCCACTTATCATTTGAAGTGGTATTTCATTGTTAAAAAGTTACATAGTCTTGCTTTAAAGCAGTTGGAAGATTTATGTAGGCTAATATAATGCATGTCGTATTATCTTTCATATTCAGTATGCAGATATGAAGGGCACGCTGTATGATTCCAAGCATTTTCAACTCTTTATGGTTTCGTTTAATTAACAACTAGAACTACCGCTTCTCTGCCAATGAATCAAATTCTCAGGTATGAGACAGAGGTGGGGTCACTGACTTTTGACCTTTGACCACCAAAATCAATTCAGTTCATCTTTGAGTCCAAGTGGATGCATGCCAACTTTGTAGAAATTCCTGAGATATCGCCTTCACAAGAATCATGTGTACGCACGGGCGGACAACCCGCAAGAGGAAATATCACCCGCAAGTTAGTCAGCATTCACTTTCTGTTAACACCAAGGCAGCAACACCCAATAAAACAAACCACATAAACCTGGGAAACCTCGACACTCTGCGTTAGTATTCTTTGAATTCCCCAAGCACATGTTCAAAGCTGCACTGAGGTGGATGGAAACAACCATAATACATGACAGCAAACAAATAGGAGAATCTGAAGGAAATGATGGTGCTCTCAGTTTCATCTCAGGTTTCACAGGAGGAAAACAAACATGGCCACTTCACCCAAACACAAGCCCAAAAAGCACCTTCACCCCTCCTCTAGAAAAATACTCATTGGAGAGGAACTATGTGTGCATCTGCATGTGTATGTGCAGATACGCTGTGTTTAGGCTATGTCACTACGTTGTATTATGTGACCTTGGGCTTTGATCTTCTTTAGACAACTTACAGTTCAGATTTCACAGGACGAGCCTTGGGGACCGTTTCATGCCTGAAACCTCGGAGTTACTAAAGAGAAAACTTAGCTGGAGTTTGCAGCATCAAAAGAGGTTTCATGTTGCTCTGTTTTGCCCCGGTAGGCTCTTTTATCGGTTGGTTTCTTTGTTCATTTCACTGCTGTGAAATAAATCACTGAGCTGTCTCTTCACAACCGCAGCAGTTCGAGTTCATAATCAAAACATCAAGGAAATCTTTTGAGCATAATTTCATTTCATTTAAAGTTATTTCCTTTCTGATCAGGATCCCATTCAGTGCACAGTTGCACTGTTACACATTAGGAAGAATCAATGTGACCGATTTGGGCGGTGTGACGATGGCTGAACATGTACACTGAACAAATTAATTCCAAGTGCTGTCCAGTGTTGATGCTAGTTTGCTGCTGGCCATAAGACTGGACGCAATACGGGGAAACAATGACGACTGAAGTTATTGCTGATTCAGAACCTTTCATGATGAGGTAACTGAGCTGGGAGAGACGGACAGTTGTTGTTTTCGCTCTTCCTTCTTTTATTAACTGTTTTCCCAAATTTAGAAAGTAATCTGACCATAACCAGCAGATTGTTAGTTGTAGTCCTATTATCAAGTGAGTCGGGTTTTATACAGAAAATGCACCTTCTGACCAATTAAAATGCATCAGACTCAGCCAAATGGCAAAGTCTCACCATAACAATACTGATTAAAACAGTTGGAACAATTTTGCTAAGGATGACGCTTCAGCAACCATCTGAATCTTCTACTTTCTTGCAGCTGTAATGCTTTCTTTTTGTTTCCTCATTGCTGAAACCACACCCTGCTGCTGCTTTGTTCCAGCAGCTCTAATGAATATTCACACATATAGGTGGGGTCATGCTCACTGACACAGTGGACTTGTGTTTTACTGGCACATATATTCAGATATTTAGAAATAATCCATGGGCACATACAAAATCACAGGCTTGCAGACACAAACACAGTCTTGTTGTTTATCGCTGCCAGTTTTGACTCCCTCTCCTTTTCTTTCCTTTTCCTCTGGCTGACTCTCACAGTGAGTCCATCTGCTGTGTGTGTGTGTGTGTGTGGGGGGGGGGGTATTAATGATGAAAACTCTAAAAACAAATAACACTGAGACAGTTTTATATTACAACCTTTGCTCATTGATTTTCCCTATCGTGGCAAACAGCAAATCCAAATCATTTACCGCACACGGAGACGCTCACAATAATGTTTGTGTGAGCATGCTATTTCTAGGAGCACACATAATGGCTCTATTGACTAATAATCCAGAAAAGACTGTGTGGCCGTCAATGGCCTAATAGACAACTCAGAGACTGTATGGCTGCAAGGCTCAGAGAATTTCAGAAGAGAGGAGCCTCATGTCTCTCACTTGGGCTAATGACAATTTAAAAGAGCAAAACAGATACCTGAACAGTGAACACAAGGCTTTGTTTACTGAGTAAGTGTTGACAAAAATGCCTTCAGTTTGGGGATATAAGAACAGTCAATGCTGAAAACAAAATCAGGACAGGATCTTGTGGTATCCTTAAAAGAAACAACCATCATTTTATTGATTAATTATCAAATTTTCTCAAATAACTGATGAATTCTTTGGTTTATAATTTGTAAAAAAACAAAAAAAAAAAAAATGTAAAAAAGATGTTTTTACAATTTTCTAAAGCTTAATATGATGCCATAAAACTGCTTTGTTGGTCAACCAATAATTGAAAAACCCAAGTCTTCAGTTTACATTCACAAAGAAAGGCAGGAAAAATAACTTATGTAGAAAATCTCCTGTATTGTTGTCTGAAAAATTACTCTAAGAGCCAATTGTCAAAACTCTTGCCATCTCTACTACAACAATGGCTGGTCATAATTTTTGCTGTTTCCCTTTAATCCTTTCCTCATCACAGATATGAAGTATGAGGTATAGATACTGCATGTGCCAAGTGATTCATGCATAAAAACGGCTAACACCGTTCAAGATCAGTCCGTTGTTCCATAAGACAAAGATGATCACTAGCAGCAGCTTTTTAGTTCAGGTGATAGAGCCTGCTTGTCTTTACATGCACACTGTAAGAAAACTGTTATCCCCAGAGGGGATAACGTGCACACTGTTAATCCAGATGGTGCCATATGGCCCCAGAAAACACACACGTGCACATTGTTGCACGTACTCAAACACACAGAGCCACAATGCATCAGTGTACAGTATCTGTTGTATGTTACTGGTCCACTCAGGTCTGCGGGGTAGCAGTGATGAGACAATGATGAATGCTGATGTGATGGCTAATGTGAAAGCAGACAGGTTTACAGTGCGGGTAAAGACACTCTCTTGAGTCTGCAGCGGTATATGGCAAATTCACCTCCTGAAGGGAAAATGGTGCTTGAACTCATTTACCAAGCCACCTCTGACATGTTAAACACACCAGGACACAAGCAAAGAGACACTGACAGACAACACAAACTGAATGCGTAATACCCTGAGCTTGTTAGAGGGGCTGGATTATAAATGGCTGTGACTGGATCAGGAAGTGCTACTAACCCTCAGCAGAAATAGTCCGGAGACAGAGGATACCATTCGGTCAGCCAGGGAGCCAGAAGGTGGTCTCACATTCCTGACATTGTGTCTGCAGAGTCTTAGGACATGGACACACAGGAGACATCCACATGCCTGGCCTGGTGACCAACACATTCTGATCTCACACATAAAGCTCATATGTGCACACGATCCATCTTCATATCAGCAGCAACACTACGATCCAACTCAGAGTTACGTTAACCAAATGTTATTATTTTAAATCCCACTGAAGATGGTCTTTGCACAGAAAAAATCACTCTGTGGTATTTGGAAAAAAATATTTAAATAAAAAATTAGAGGTGAGGTCTGATTTCAACTTTTGGCCTGGTGCTGTGAATCCACACAGCTGACCTCTCGCACTGCAACTATGTCCAACACTGACCACAGAAACATTATAAAAATATGCTGAAGAGGACAGCACATGGATTTTTTTTTACAATACGTGTTATTCTCCACCAAGTCTTCAGGGAAATGTTTGGCTGTTTAGCAGCTAAATGCTCCTTTGTGTTCATCTTTTAGTTGCTACATGTCTGTCTGGTGTTTGATGCAGTAGTAAAACAATGACTTGCAGCAGCTTTTTCCCTGCAGCAGTAAGACAGTAAGAAACATGTGCAATAACCCCTTACTACCTCACTATGTGAAATACTATGTGCAATATTTGAAGTTCACCATCTCATCCATTATCTATTATCATATTTTTTTTGTATTGCGCTTTTATCTTGAATGCATTTTTATACTACGTATGTCACTCTTATGTAACTTTATTGTCAGATTAGATGTTCTTTCCTGGCTTTTAACTCTTTACCTGACTCCAAGAGAGCTGCACAAGGGTTCCTATATGCCTAGACTGTCTGTTTATGCATAAATGGCAAATTAAAATCTTGAGTCTTGTGTCTTGAGATGGAAATTTTGTGGGGATATAAAGCCAAAATGCTAAAAAGCTCCAGGATCAGAGGTGAACTGCACAGTTTGGGACCTTGGAATGTTCATTTGACCCTTTCTTTATATAAAATATTGATGCTTACAACTTTAATTTCCAAATGGAAACAAATACTGCTCCTCAGCAGCTTGACCACTTCTGCTTTGGATCAATAGTGAAGGACTCCAGTGAAGGAAAAGCACAGGGCCTTGGCTTGTGGTTGCAGTGATGGTCTGTGGCAGATCCTGGAAGTGGAAATGATGCTATACATCTTGCTACTCTGGACAGAATTAGTCCTTGGGCCCTGTCCTCTTCCTTCCCCAAGGTTTTGACCTGACCACAGACATGCGGCTGATTTTGAGTTTGGAGCTAATGAACAACTATGCACTGCTCAATGGGTTTGTCAGGAGGCATTCCACAAGACACGTGCAGTATGGGAGGCCCATTATAGATCTACACTCTCCGACCCCTGACAATGTGTGAAAAGCTATTTTTTAAACATATGTTGCCACCACTCTCTCTCTGACTCTAACAGGATTTCCTCCAGACACAAAGACCACCATGTACTGCCAAAGAGATAAACTCAAGCCAATGACTCTTAACAAGAAGCCCATTCCTGTCATTCTTAATTTATTACAAATAAAGTTGACCCCACTGCTGAGTCCTGAGATGAAATAAAAACAGTTTACTCTTAAAGAGACACTAAACCACTCCCATCTCATATAAAATCTTGTAAACTTTAACAGTAACTGAGTGGAGAGTTTACATGTACGCCATGTCACTTATAACCTATATCTGGTGTTCAGTTTAAAGTGTTGATGTGATTTCTGCAAGGGCGTTGGCTTCAAAAGGTGTTTCCATGGCTTTAAAGTGGACTGCTTCATGGTACAGACACAGCTTGCACATGAAGGTTTGGGACAGTTTAAAGGGAATATTTAACAGTTCTGCAGTGAGAAAGGTCTCCTTACCTTCCCATAGTCGGTGGTGAAGACCAGAGACAAGTCATTAGAAGAACTGACGGTGGAAGGGAGGAGCTGCTCTTTGTGTCTCAGCCAGACACGGGCCCCCTGCAACACAATAGCCAGCACAAGACCATTAGCACTGTAAGAAAGTACTGGACATTTGTATTGCACACACATTTTAGGAGTGTTGGAGACCACCAGTAGAAACAATGAAGGCACTGTTCGAATGAAAAAGACATTTGTAGCCATGTGTTGGTATAATATCAAAGTGCCAGGTGAGTAATACTATAACTGCTGGCTTTGAGAAAACACAGTGATTATGCTAGAAAAGAGCAAATTACACCCTTTGCTTTTTTCCCCCCTCACTGTTTTCTCCACTTTTCCCTTTTCCCTCAACATTGCTCATCACTCTCTGCCACATAGCTACTCCCTCCCCACACCAGACTGGCACAGTTATACTCTTATTAAACTGGCACCGCTTTTAGTAAGCAAAAGCCATTTGCCAGGCGTGCATGCTGAGTGTGTGCCAGAGGCTACAGCTACCACTCAGAGTCATACATGCTCAGTAAAGCTGTCAAAGAGACTGATTGTATGGATAATTAACTCCACAGCAACAAAAAATATGGCCTCAAATGAGCATTTGTCACAAATCAACCAATATGGATGTTTCTCTGCCTGTCTTTCATTAGCATCCCAGATCAGACTCGGGTTCCAGATGGAACACTACAGCCGATCTGGGCAGCCTGGTCTCCTGTGTTTGTTGTATCCATGTGGAGTCACTGACCTTCCCATACATGTTTGTGAGCAGCTCAGTAACCAGAAGCAATTACAGGAATCAAGGCTGATTGCTCAGACTGTCATTTCCTTACAGTGGTGGAGCAGACATTTTTAGAACTGACTGCTTTTTAATGGCTGTAGTGCATGAGAACACATTGTTAAACTGCACATTTTAGAGGTTGACTAAATTCACATTGGTCAAGGTTAAAAACAACAAATGTAGCCTTTGATAAAACAATGTACATTTACAAAAATTATTACAGGAAAGCAAATTTCCCAAGATATCTTTCCCTTTAAGAGGCCTGTTTGTATTTTTTCAGCCTGTGGTTTCAACTACAAGTAACACAAACTGAACACATTGTTTTTCAATGTAGTTTATAGGATGTGCAATATAAAGAGTTGTGTCTTGAAAGTCACATGCTCTTCTAAAAAGCCTGTCTCAGACCAGCTAAACACCATTAATCATCACGAGTGCCACCACTAGGGTGGTCAACGAAAACACGGAGCAAAAGGGAATGGTGTGTCTAACAGAGCATAAAACTAAAGAGATCAATAACCTTATACAAGGTCACCACTTCCAGACATCAATCCTCATTAACTATTAACAATAGTCTGCCACGTGTGCGCACACACGCTCATCCGTGGGGCACAACTGTGCCTGCCACCAGGGTAGAGTCAAAGATCAAGATGGTTTTGTTTAAGATGTTTACAATCTGCTGAATCACAAAGAGGAACTCGGTTCAACATAACAATTATTCTAAACCCATTAAATGGACTCTCTCAGCAGCTCAGAGTGATGATAGGTTCTTATTCTTTTCTTTAGTCTTTAGTTTGCGATTCAGACGTCCTTCTTGGACAAACAGTCATCCAGCCCAAACAGCCAGTCTAAAAACCTACTTCTGGCATCAAGGATTTTTTTTTTTTACTTTCAGTCAGCTAATGGAGAACAGCTAAATGTGGCTCTTTCAAACCACAGAGGGACAGAAGTAAGTGGGATAAAGGGGGTTGTGTAAATTAGGAGGAGGCTCAGGGGGGAGTGAGAGGGGAAAGAGGAAGGGCGCAGGCACCTGATAATGTTTTCCGCCTCTCTTTGTCTAGAAAGTGAGGCAAAGAAACAGAGGACACATGTAAAACATAGGTAATCACCAACATGTGACCATACATTAACACAGTTTTCACATAAGATGAGGTAACTGGTGACGTCCATACCAGGGACCAGCTGTTCCAGCCTGGGGCCAACTGCTTAGGGAAAAGTGGTTTCACGTGAGTTCATCAAAGTCAAGTGAGGTGATTAAGTGTTTACAATGCTGTATAGATTTTAAGAAGATCAGTTCCTGTTATGTAACAGGCTTGAATTCAACTGGATATTGCTAGCACGTTTCATTTTTTTGAGGAAGAGCAGGGCTGAAACGTGCCAGAGTAGGATGTAACAACAAGTACACAAGATGTTAAACTGAATAAGACAACAGGCAATTACAACGGGGTGGTTCATAGTACCGCTGGCCCACAAAGACACTAACAGTGGCTTGGCTTGCTGCACCAGCATCTGTGCAGAGTGACTTGCTTTCTGGAAAACTGCCCACCAGACACTGTAATAAAAATGGGTCAAAAACAGCCACATCAGTACTAGACCCACATTTTGCAAGTGTATCAAATTAAGTTATTTTAGCTCACTTATTTTCATTTAGGTTTTTATTAATCTTAACATTAATACATAACATTGAAACATTCCTCTAGCAGTATAATTCAGGGACCAATTAATATAGCATCAATAAGTAATAATGTAAACATAAAATTCAGTCAAACCCGTAGTGTTGGACCCTTGGTGTATATAAGAAAATTGTCCAAATTTTATCTAAGATTTTAACAGCTGCTACAGCCATTACAGAATAAGGAGGCATTCGCTGCTGCTTTGTCTTCAAAGTAAAAGTCAGCCAGCATGCAATGTTATGTCAGGAGTTGGCTAAAAAGAACTGTTGGATGATTTGGTCTGTCCTCGGTCATTAAAGGAATCTGTCTGGTACCATTTAAGTTGGTAGACGTTGTGGGTTCTGCAGTGTTGAAAGCCTCAAGGAGGCCAACACCAGATGTGCCTGTCCATTTGTTTGTGTCTTTGTATGTGAGCGTGCAAGTGTGTCTATTGAGTCTGAAGCTGGAGGGTATAAAGCAGAGATGAACTGTCTCAGCAACAGATGGTCTGGCTAAAACTCTTCCCCCTTGTCCCCTCCATCATCTGGAACTTTGTCACTAAGTCAGAACAAAAGGCAACAATCCCTGACTGAGCTCAGAAGTTAACCAGGCGGAAATATTCCAAACAAAGGCCAGCTGGGACGCAAAGTAACATGGGTATCAGCTCGTGTTAAGTCCTCCAGACTTGAATTATCCGCTGTAGCAGCTGATTACTCTGGCTAAACTAGATAAACAGTGCGTGTACGTCTTATAAAACAATCACTGGAAAGTACAGTGTTCACATCATAATACAAAACAGCCTTCAATGGGTTTAATTATCAGGCATCACCACTCCCCTGCCTCTGGTAACCAGATGTTTTAATAGCTCAATTAGGCTAAAAAGCACAGCTGAACTGCTGCCGTGACATTTCCAGCTCAGGCTGATTTCAGATTCTTAATGCTGCATGTCACTGAGCACGTGTACTGACACACAATGGTAATCAGATCCCCCAAAACAGGCCACATGGCAGCGTCCCATCATGCTTTCCAGACAAAGAAACCACTCGGGCTGAATGATGTGATCCCAGAGTTGGAGGCTCAAGTTTCTGCAGCTTGCATAATGACATCCAACTCAGAGACCTGCTAATGCACGAGCCCTAAATATTTAAGAGCATACACAGGACAAGGTGCCACGTCTCTTTCTCTGCTGTCTGTTGTAGCATGAGCGAGATGGTATTGAGCAATCGTATCAGCCAGAACAAAAGAAAGCTAATTAAATCAGCCTAACCTGGACACAACTGAACACTTAGTTATGATGAGATAATTTCTTGGATCATAGCGTGGTTGCAGGGAGCAGTGAGCGAATGTGAGTGAGTGAACGGCTGCTGGCCTGAAGTGCTGCCTGGCTGAGGGCTGAGCTGGATTTCTGACAACCATCTCGTTTGTTGTGCCTGGATGTGGAGGAGTAAACATAACACAGCAGTGTATCCGCCTGGAATATGAACAAAAGCCATCCAAAAGAAACAGTTTATTTTAGTAATAATTTGGTTCTCAATCATGGTTTTTTAAAACAGGTATAACTCGGCTTTCATCATTCTAAATACCTACTGCATCTATAGATGTATAAAAATATGTCTCATATTCTGGTTCAGCTCTCTTTGTACACCACAATTATCAAGATGTACCAGCTTTATCATAGAAAGGCAGAAGGCCAAGTCACTAGCCCTTTGTGATCCCATTCAGTGTGCCTGGACAGATGTGCATCCCTGAATATTAAATGGCTGGATGACCTGCATTTAATAGGGTCAAACAGCATAATGATGCTTGTTGCCAGAGGGTGGTTTCATATGAAACAAGTATGTTGTGGGTAAAATTACCTAGTGGTCACCAAAAAAATAACTTTTTCACTTAGATATTGAATTAATCAAATTTATCAGAATTAATCATTTTTGTTTTCTTTTTAATCTAATTGAAACTCACATGAATGTATGTAGCCAGCAGTATTTCAGAAAAAGGTATCAGCGAAGGAATGTGTTGCTTTGTCTAACAGAAAGAACCTAGGGCAAATTCAGGGACTGTAACCAAACCTCCTGAATGTTGAGTGAATAAGGAGGAATCGACTAAGTAGATAGTGAGATTAAAGAGGTAGGCTGAGCGCGCTTGGCAGGGGAATCTGAGCAAAGGTCTCTCTGGCTTTTAAAATTAAAACATTTTAAAATGCACATATTGTATGTGTAAAATGAAATTTCACCTTTACATGTCCTTGCTTCTTTGTTTCCTTGCCACCACTGTAATGTCTGCACATAGCACAGCCGGTGCCACAACCAGCATGGGGTGTGGGCGTGGAAAGGCAAGGGTGGGTGACCAAGACGAGAAATCAGATGATTAAAGGCAACCGCAAGCATCTGTGCTGGAAGAACTATGAATTAATGATGGAGGGAGCAGCTGATCAGGAATTAGCTAATGGGGGAGGAGGAGGAGTCCCACGAGGAGCAGGGCTTTCCCCAGTCTGCGGTGAAGGGGGAGTGAGAGGAAAAAGAAGAAAAGGGTGGATGGTGGGTTCATAAATTGTTCTTGACCCCAGGGATCCGACTGAGCCCCCTGCAGAGGAAGCTATAAACAGATGAAACGTGGGACGGCCTGAAGGCAGGAGCAACCCG